ACCACAACGGAGCCCATTGGGTAGTTTATAGAATAGTTCAATGATTGTTTATTCAACAAAATATGAATAATCAATTATTTCTTTAAGTTTTTTCTTCATAAAAGAAAATTTTAATTATTAAAAAACGGGATTGGTCTAAAGGTTGATAGCATAGGTGAGGAGTATAAAAACATCAAGATAACAAAACCAAATAAAACCAATGCAATTATTTTGTGATTAGTTCTAGCTAGAGTTAACATTTCTCAAGAAACTAGATGTATTGATGAGTGATTACTAACTAAATAGTCATAGTTAGTGACGCTAATATAATCGTCGAGTATTCGCTATTCAAGGTCAGACCTTTTTTGACTATTCTATTTACTCCTTCCATCTCAATATTTCGAGTACATGATTATTTTCGTGACTCAGTGGCTAGGTTTACTCGTCAGGTAACTTGGTCATCAGATCAATAGCTGATATTTTACTAAGAAATTGCTCAAACTAAGAGCAAAACATTCCGGGCTAGTTGATTTTGAATTACAACTGAAAAATGCGACAGAGAAACGCTTATATATAAACCTTCGATTAGTGGGGCATTCAATTTTTCACATTTTGGGAACTGGAACCATGCGTTCCAATTTGAACTGAACAACTAAGTTTTGGATTAAACTTGCCGCTGGTTTCTGGCGTGTGTGACTTGTTTGCAATGAGCTAGTTTAGGACAGATATGAATAGTGTTGCATTGGCTTGTGCAAGAGAGTGGGAATTTGCTGCAATATGTTAAATATACATAGTTGCTATTTCTTTTGGACACTCCGTGTCGACGTTGTTGCATAGATTACAACACTCCAAGTTGTAATTGTCGATTTCTGTTGCCGTCTAACACTCCTATCATCTTTTAATATAAATAAATTTCAATAGCAACAAAATATCAAAACCATCAAACTGGGTCAGAACGAGACTATAACTTCTACGATGTACACGTTTGATGGAGTGAGTTCATTGTATTATTACTACTCACATGCATCATAAAGACATGTATGGTGATATAGTATACTGGGGGTAGACCACCATAGAAGACATGCAACACACTTTGAGTAAACCTCTAAATCTTGTGATGGATAGTCTACCCGGGGTATATATCCGAAGGGTTATTACGGGGAGTAATTTAGAGAGAAGTCAGAGCAAGTAAATAAAAGTAGAGAGAGAGAATGTATTATAAATGCGGAGTGTTTTCAGCGTGTTATGACTTGGTTACAAATGGGGAAAAGGGGTGCTATTTATAGTAGCAATAAATGCCGGGCAGGGACACGTGTCAAGCGCTCATTGGCCGAGGGGTCACCTCAACTGGTTGGCGCTGGCAGCCGCATGTGGCCGCATTTAATGCGGCTGTTGGATGGGACGTCTGTGCGGGGTACGGTGATCTGTACGCATGTGAGGCGGATATCTTGTCGAGTGAGATGCCTTCGGCCATAGAGCAGTAGCCGAGGGCTCTTCCACCCGATGGCACCCTGGTGCCGAGGGCTCACAGTGCCGAGGGCTACTGTTTTCGCCGTTTTCTCCCAGTTTCTTAGTTTGCTTGAGAAACCCGTTCTGTGAGAATTTAGAGCCTTCGGCCGGGGAGCCGAAGGCACCCCTGGCGCGTAGTGCGGGCTGCTTGGTACTCTGGGCGCTGTGATTTGGGCATGTTGGGCCTTTTGGGCCTGTTGGGCCTTTGCTGGAGTAGTAGGAGTCTGTGGGCCGGGGGTTCCCGGGCCATATACTCCATCAGGAGTCCCTCACTCCTTTTGCCGAAAGGTACTTGAGGGAAAAGGAGTAATTTGTGCTTGCCCTTTGATGTTGTCCCGTCATGATCTCTGAAGTTGGTGAGGAGTTGTTGCTTTTATGTCCCTGCCGAAGGCAGTCCCTCAGTTACCCACATGTCGGGACTTGAGGGCTTGCTTTGTTGTTTGTTGGAATTTCACAGATTTTGTAATTTAATGATTTTCCCGAGGGGGTCCTCCAGTCCCCCACTCCTTGAGGCACTCGTAGAGTGGTGAAAAGGAGTAAAGTAGTTATGTTGCTGTTGTGGGCCGAAGGCTGACGTTTTTCGTTTCATTTTGGGGGGATGCCTCGTTAAAAACCTCATTAGGAAAAACCCTTTGGGAAAAAATCCTAATGAGGGAAAAAGAGTGCACCGAATTCCCCCAATGATGAATCGAAAATGTCAAACCTTGGTAAGAATTGGGGAATGACGGGAATGCCGAAGGCTCTCTCTTCTGAGGGCTCCTGTGTTGATTAGCCGAAGGCTTGCTGTTGATGTCCTGGTGGCGCCGAAGGGGAGCCCCTCAATCCAGGGATCGAGGGCCTGCCAGATGAGGGCAGCAGTGAAGTTGTTACCGGGGGGTCCACTGTTTGTTGATGAGTTGGTGATGAAGATACTCGAGGGCCATGGGCCATCCGTCAATGAGGCACTCCCCGGGGGCTACCCGGTTTTGCAGTGCTGAGGGGGAAACCCCGAGGGGTGCCCTGATATGCAGCCCTAGGGATCTGAAGGAGTGATCCCGAAGGCGACTGTTATGTGCTGTGTGGGCGCAACCCGGGGGCACTTCTGAGTGAGTGTACCCGGAGGCTATCCTTGATGAAGTGGAGTGAAGTAGAAAACCCGGGGGCTTCCAGAATATAGCCGTTGGAAATATAGCCGTTGGAATATGTAACGACAGGATATAGCCGTTGGGGGGGTGGCACACGTGGCGTGTGATGGCTGGCTGTCCGTGGGCGGCATCACGGGTTGGGTGAAGATGCGGCGTGTAATGATGGCGTCCACCCGGAGGCCCGGTTTTCGGGCCCAAGCCCGGACTCTGGGGTCTATAAATACCCCGGAGCCAGAGCCATTCCTTCCTTACGCGTTCAAAAATCCTTAGCGAAGCTCTGCCAAAAATTCTAGAGAGAGAAACTCGAGCCCTCGGTCACAGCACTTTCAGAGGTTAGTTCTCCCTTCGCTCCTCAACACTTTTTGCAAGTTCCACCCTCTGGCCTTAGTTTAGGGTTAGGGTTCCGTAGAAATCCTTCGAAACTTTAGGCACATTTTTTGGCAAAGAATGTCGTCCGAGAGTGATTCCCAGAATATATCGAGGGAGCCCTCGGTTGAGGATGAGGTTGCTTCCGATGTCGAGTCAAGCAGCAGTGCGCCCTCGGTTGTCGATGACGAAGCCGTGGCCTTGGAGTTGCAGAAGGCCCTGGCTGCTGAGGTGGAAGCCGAGGGCTTCGAACAGGAGTGCGAAGATGAAGAACTAGCCCTCGCGTGTCAGGTGGCGGAGGACGAAGCCCAAAAGGAGGCGATGATGGTTACTGTTGCTGTGCCACCCCCTCGGACTGACTGTGGTGAGCCTAGCACCTCCAGGCCGTTGGACCCGACGCCTCTGAGGATAGCCCCCGGTAAAAAGAAGACAAAGTCGCAGAGGGCTGCCCCTAAGAAGAAGAGTGTGGCCGCTGGTGCCGGGGGGCCTGTTGAAATGCCAGAGGGGTATACCTGGCTAAACACCGAGACCCTCGATATTAAGTCGAAGGCGGACAGGGCTGACTTGTACGTCACGCAGCTGCACGTTGGGCCCTCGGCCGCAGTGGTGGAGCCAAGCGTCGATGATCTGCTGTCCCGGCCTCCGGAGGGATGCATTGCCGTCCACATCCTGTCAGTGTCCATGGGCCTCCGGTTCCCCCTGCATCCATTCCTCCGGGAGTACCTCCGGTTTGTTGGACTCATCCCCTGCCAACTTACCCCCAATAGCCATTCATACATTGCTGGCTTTCTGCACCTGTGCCGGACGAGGGGTGTTACCCCAAGCTTGGACCTCTTCTTTCAAAGCTTCAACTTGTGCCGGGGGGGGCACGCGAATGCCGAGGGCTTCGCCAATTTACAGCAGGTAGCAAAGTTCAAGCTGTTTACCGAGGCGCCCTCGTCCAATAAGGGCTGGAAAGACAGATGGTGCTACGTCTGGCTGGCCGAGAATCCCTTCCCGAAGGAGCTACGGGGCCGCTTTCGCGCGCCACGAGAGGGTGGGGAGTGCTGCCCTAGAGAAGGATGGCCTGAAACTCGCCAAGATTCCGGAGGGCAAGACGAAGGTCGTGACGATCAAAGAATGCACCTTTGAGGAAGACTTGCATGCCCTCGGGTTCCGACGGTACCGGTTCATCGGGGAAGTAGATGAGAAGTACCATGTCTTCACTGAGGCCTTCGGGGGAGCAGGAGGTAGGCTACGAGGGCCCCTAGTCTCCTACTTAGGCATTTTCATTTTGCATCCCGATAGTTGATTTTGGTATGAACCCTTCGGGTTAACATTCTTTTTGCTTTGTTTTGCAGGTATGGAGGCTCTCTTCGCAATGAAGAAGAAGAAGGAGAGGGCGCAAGCCCAGAAGAAGGAGAAGACGGAGCCCTCGGGTCAAAAGCCCATTGATGAGGTTTTCCCGAAGGAGACCGCAGAGCCTTCAGCTGCTGCTGCTCCCGTTACTGCGGCCGGGGGGCCGAAAGCTGATGTGGCAGCCAAGAAGAAGAAGGGGGGCAAGGGGGTGGAGCCCCCGATCAAGAAGCAGAAGGTTGCCGGGGACGCCGTTGAGAAGGCGGCCCCCCCTCATAATACTCGATGATCAGCCCTCCGCTGACCCCCCGGCAATTGATACTCCGATGGCTCAGACGGACCTTCCCTCGGGGAAGATGCCTCGGGAGATTATTCGGCTCTCCCTCGCTCCGGGGGCATCCGTATTGCACGGTTCAGCCGAGCCGTTGTCTTTCCTGAGGGGGATTACCTCGATGATGGACAAAGAAGCCCTCTCCACCTATAACGATGACGCCCTCGAAGCCAGGGCCCTTCGATCAGCTCTGACTGTAAGTGTTTCTACTTTGACTTGATCTCAATATTTTATCATAATCCCAATGCCCGTCTGAACCCTCTGTCCGTTGTTCAACAGGCATGCATAACCTTCGGTGAGCAGGCCCGAAGGCGAGAGGAGTGGTGTCGTCATAAGGCCGAGCTAGAGAGGTCCGTGGAGGAGCTGATTCGCGACAAGGACGCTGCCCTTCGGGAGGTGTGCAAGTTGGAGGATGCCCTTCGGCAAGCGGAGCTGCGGCTGAAGGAGGCCAGAGAAGACGGGAAGGCCGAGGGCAGGGCTGAGGCCGAGAGGGTTGCGGCCGAGGAGAGAAAACAAGCTGCCGAGGACGCCGAGAAGGCCAAAGCTGAAGCTGCTGCCAAAGCCCGAGAAGAGGCCATTGCTGGGTTCACCTCCGAGGGCTGGAAAGCCGAGGGCCAGAGCGAGTGGGTGGCTTCTGTGGTGAAGGCCTCGATCGAGGAGTGGGTGAGGGGCCCCGGGCTCGACTGGATGAATGAGAGGGGTAACACCTACTATCAAGCTGGCGAGTTCTTCACCCAGCACCTGGTTTACCGGAGGCTCGCCCGACATTTTGGCACCTCCCTGGATGAGTTCAACCCCTCGGTGTACGGCCTCCCCCCGTTGCAACCGGATGTGCGGGCCCCCCTCCCCGAGGGAGAAGAGCGCCCGGTGATTCATGATTCCATGATGATGGGCGTCGATGATGATGCCGAGGACGCCACCGGGACGGAGGTTACCTCGAAGCCATCGGGGGAGGGTGCCCCCGGGAATGATGTAGTTGATGTGTAATATGCTTTTAGAAATCTCTGAACATATTTTGTAATGAATAACTTTGATCCTTCGGCTTCGGCCTATTTGTAATTTCACACTTACTCTTGTTTTTGATGAAATGCATGCTGCCTCCGGGCTTTTCATATTCGAATGCGCCTTATGTTTTGAATGTATGCCTTCTCCTTTGAATGTATGTTTTCGGTATTTTTGAATGTATGTCTAGGACTTAGAATATTTTCCGATTGTAGCCTGCCCTTGGAAGCCTTCGGTAGTTGGGCGTCCTCTGCTGGATATGCAACCGAGGATTCTGTAGGAATTAGGACTTAGAAAATTTCTCTAAGTGCAGCACAGCATGGGGCCTTCGGGCGTTTGTAGTAACCCACTTCCTAGGACTTAGAAAAATTTCTGAGTGTAGGTTTTCCCCTGTGAGCCTTCGGGTGTCAGTAGTAACCCAATCCATAGGACTTAGAAAAATTTCTAAGTGTAGATCTTCCCTTGTGAGCCTTCGGGAAATGGGATCCCTTCCTGATGTGTGAACCTTGGACCGAGGGCCCAATGTTCAGGACTCAGAGATTTTTTGCAAGTGTAGTATGTCATGTAGCCTTCGGCTACTGTGGAGCCCCAACTGAAATATTAAATAGGCCGGGGGCTAATTCTTTAGGACTTAGAAAATTTTCTTGAGTGCTGATTCCTTGTGTACTGTAGCCCTCGATTGATAGGCAGCCTTCGGCAATTAGGTCCCTTGAGGTGAGGGTGAAATATGTAGGACTTAGAAAATCTTCTAAGTGTAGAGTTTCCCTTGGGAGCCTTCGGGAGATGGCATCCCTTCATGATGTATGAGTAGTTGACCGGGGGGGGGGGGGGGGAAATATGCAGGACTTAGAAAATCTTCTAAGTGTAGAGTTTCCCTTGGGAGCCTTCGGGAGATGGCATCCCTTCATGGTGTATGAGTAGCTGTCAGGGGGGAAAATATGTGGGACTTAGAAAATCTTCTAAGTGCAAAATCTCCTTTGGGAGCCTTCAGGAGATGGCATCCCTCCTTGATGTATAAGTAGTTGACCGGGGAAAAGCATGTAGTACTTAGAAAACATTCTAAGTGTGGATTTTCCCTTGGGAGCCTTCGGGAGATGGCATCCCTTCTTGATGTATGGCCTTCGACTGTCATATTCCTCTAGTTGCAATACTGACTGAGCCGGGGGCCCATCTTTAGGACATAGAAATTTTCTTTGTTTGCAAGTGTTGTTGTATCGCATAGCCTTCGGCTATTGTATCCCCCTGGCTGTAGTGTTGATTGAGCCGGGGGCCCAATTTTAGGACTTGGAATTTTTCAAGTGTTGTTTCTTCGTGTAGCCTTCGGGTGATAGGTGCCTTCTGACTCTTCATTACTTTGCGAGATGCCCGGGGGCTGCTCCTTCAGGACTTAGAATTTTTTCTAAGCATAAATTGATGTTGAGTCCTGTTGTTGTGAAGAAAGCCAATGAGGAGTGTGTGCCCTCGGCATACACTTTAAAAGTTGTAGAATTTGACCCTTGTCATGGGGAAGGGGCCCTCGGTATTTGTTCATAACAGATGCCTTCGGTGTTTGTTTGAAGTACCGTTTAGTGGACCTTGGATAGTCCAGTCCCTTGGTATTGTTGAAGCCTTCGGTGTTTTTTGTGACCGGAGGTGACCAGGTAGTGGACTTAGCCTTTTCCTGATGATATTTGTTTGAGTAGTATCCTTCGGGAAATAGGAGCCTTCAGTTACCGGAGGTGTTCCCGTGGGGAGCCCTCGGCTTGTTGTAATCTGTTGGAGTGTACTCTTTGATTTCTCGCTGAGTCTACTCCCCTTCACCCCCCCTTTTTTTTTGGTTGGTGGTGAAGGGAAGGCATCAAGAAACTTGGTTTCTTGGTAAGGCTGGGCCTATTAGGAGACCATCAGAATACACCAATGACTCTCCTCCCTCGGGTTAACCTTCCGAGTTCCGAGGGGATCGAGGGACGTTTCCTGGGCACAAGATATGGTGGTCCGTAACCTGCCTCCCCTTGGGGGATGGCGCGGAAAGCGCCTCATTTTTGAAAGTCGTCCCCTCGGCGTTAGACATAGTCCGTGGCCTGCCACACCCTTGGGGTGGTGGCGCGGGGAGCGTTTCGGTTTGGAAGTCGAATCCTGGGCATTTCTCATACCTGTCATACCCTGGGGGTAGTGACGCGGATAGCGTTCCGTTTTTGAAAGTCGAATCCTGGGCATTTCTCATGCCTGTCATACCCTGGGGGTAGTGACGCGGAAAGCGTTTCAAGGAAGGGTTTTCATTTGCACACTAGTTGCAAATGGCCGGGGGCACTACGTGCAGCCGGCACCGATGGTGGCGCCTTCGGTATATGCGTCCTCGTGGGGTACGGCTTTTAGAAACAACACTTGGTGTTAGTTTCGATGTGTAGCCCCCGGTACCTGGTACCGAGGGGTCTTCTGTAGGAACACTTGGTGTTCTCTTTTGTCGTAGTTGATGTAGGCGTCTACCCTCGGTACTTGGTACCGAAGGGTCTTCAAATGAAACACTTGGTGTTTCCCAACAGATGTTTGGAAGTTGAAAGGAGAGCATCTTCCTGGCACTGGGTGCCGAGGGGTCTTCTTTGAAACATATGGTGTTTTCTTTTCTTTTCTTTTTTTTTCTTCGTTTCGATGTTTGATGATGGAGGTGTACCCTCGGCACTGGGTGCCGAAGGGTCTTCTGTAGGAACACTTGGTGTTCTCATCTCTTCTTTTTTGATGTTGAAGGTGGGGATGTACCCTCGGCACTGGGTGCCGAAGGGAAATGAAACACATGGCGTTCCTTGTTGTTGGTGATAGGAGTTTCCTCCCTCGGCACTGGGTGCCGAGGGGTCTTGACTGAAAGCACGTGGTGTTTTCACTGTTTGTTGTAGGTGTTGATGGTGTCCGCCCTCGGCACTTGGTGCTGGAGGGGGTTCTTCTTGTGGTGAGGGCCTGGGGCCTGTAGTCAGTACGAGGACTTGATGTCTTGAATGTATCTTCATTCTTCGAAATTGGAGGCCTTGGGCCATAGGATAGTACATTCACTAGTTATGAGGGCTTGACCGCTCTTACATTATTGATAAAATTTAACTAAATGGTGTACATTCCAGTGCCTAGGGACTTCTTTCCCATTGGGGCGCTTGAGCTTGTAGGTTCCGGGTTTGATGATGGCTGCTATGATGTAGGGGCCTTCGAATTTTGGTGCCATTTTTCCTCCCTCGGTTGGTTGGCTGGCTTCCCTCCTCCGGAGGACATAATCCCCCACTTGAAATTCTCGGGTTCGAACTTTGGCGTCGATGTAGCTTTTAACTTGCCTTCGGTAGTTTTCTGCCCGGATGAAGGCCTGCTCCCGGCGTTCTGAAATGAGGTGGAGGTCGAGGGCCATGTTGCTGTCGTTGACCTCGGGGTCATACTGGATCACCCTTCGGGTAGGAAGGGTGACTTCCGTAGGAGCTTTGGCTTCAAAACCGTAGCAGAGGGAGAAGGGTGTTTCACCAGTAGCTCGCCGAGGGGTGGTGCGGTAGGCCCAAAGGATGTTGTGAAGTTCTTCTACCCAGCCACCGCCCTCGGCCTCCAGCTTCTTTTTGAGGCCCTCGAGCAAGGTCCGGTTGGCGTTCTCTACTTGCCCGTTGCCTTGAGGGTAGGCAACGGAGGAGAAGGTGTGTTTGATGCCCCATGCCTCCAGAAGGGCACAGAAGGGGGCTGCCTCAAATTGTGTCCCATTGTCGGAGATGATCTGCTGGGGGACGCCAAACCTTGTGAGGATGTTCTTGAGGGCGAAGTGACGGCACTTCGCCTCCGTGATGCTGGCGAGGGGTTCAGCCTCCACCCACTTGGTAAAGTAGTCGACGGCCACAATGATGTACCTGTTGTTGGAGGTACCCCTCGGTAGAGGGCCCACAAGGTCTACCCCCCATCGAGAAAAAGGGACAGATGTGCTGATGGGGGCATAGTTGACCGCTGGCCTGCCGGGGGCTTTCTGGAAATGTTGACATGCGGTGCACCTCCGGGCAAGGTCAGCACAATCCCTGGCCATGGTTGGCCAGAAGTAGCCCTGGATAATGAGCCTTCGGGACATGGAGAAGGGTCCTTGGTGAGCTGAGCAAGTGCCACTGTGCACTTCCTCCATTGCGACCTCGGCTTCATCTGGATGAAGGCACCGAAGTAGCGTGCCATTGTAAGATCGTTTGTAGAGCCTTCCATCTTCGATGGTGTAGCTGGGAGCCCTCAGCTTTGCCAGTTTAGCGCGGGCCTCATTCTCGGGCAGCTGCCCTGTGGAGATGAAGGCGGTGATATCTGAGATCCAATCCTCCTGACGTTGTTGTATGTTCATAACGGGGCTTGCATGGATGCTTGAGAGGCTGAGTTCCTCGATTTTGGCAATTTTGGAGATGTGCTCGGGGGAGTCGGCCGAGAGCTTAGATAATATGTCGGCCTCGGAGTTCTGAGCCCTCGGTATTTGAGTGAGAGAGTGTGCCTCAAATACCTTAAGCAACTCCTTGGCCGCTTCCTTGTACTGTTTCATCCTCCCCTCCTTGGCCTCATATTCTTCGGAGATTTGGCCAACGACCAACTTGGAGTCGCACTTGATGTGGATCTGCCGAGCCCTCATGTTGGCAGCCAGCCGAAGGCCACATAGGAGGGCCTCATACTCGGCCTCATTGTTGGAGACCTTGAAGGAGAAGCGGATTGCATAGTAGGCCCTGAAGCCCTCGGGAGAA